AGAAAAACACGCAGACATCAGCTCCACACGGAATAACAAGAACTCCCCGAGTTCGATGACAAGACGTCCACGTCTGGCAATTTCGCAATCCAACATATCGATCTCAGACTTCAGAAACTTTTACCTTGGCATCATCATAACTTGATACTACCAAGCTGGGGGCTAACTGTAGGGGTCATATTTCACCCCTGTGAGATCGATATAGCGACGAGATCAACTCCGCAATATCCTGACGAAATCACGACGAATCTACGAAGGCTCAGCCTGAATCNNGNNNCAAAATGACATTAAACCCATGAGCAAAATGGGCTTAATAGAATAATGGGCCTAAATTAGATTTATTGTTTAATGGGCCAGATCCATTTTATTAGCTGGCCCATTTTAGATGTTTTCACTATATATAGCTCTTCATTTTCACCCAAAAGGGGAGATGGAGGGAGAAGCAAAAAAACTCTTGTAACAGCTTTTTTCACAGCTAATAAAAACTCTCTTGAGATCTTTGTGTTTGTTTACTTTCGACAGAATTTTACAAACCCTAAAGAATCACTTAGATTCTAGTTGTGAGATTCGACCGCCACAGTTATCTATGAAGTATAATTAGTTAATTATAAAAAAAGATATAGCTATAATGAGAGTATGTAATTATATATAAAATAGTCAGACTATATATGTTTGAGAGTAGTAATTTGTTATAAAATAATTGGCTATCTTCGAGAATGAAGACGAACCAAATAACAAATTTGATACGTATATAGTCGACTGTTTTGAAAAATATCACATAGTTGGATATTTATCTCTATAAAACAATTTAGGATTTTGGGTCAGACAATCACTGTAAAGATCGCTGTTTCTAGGTTTATAAAGGATTGTTCGGTTAGCCAATTACAATTTTATGAATTTGAAAATTTCATATTTAGTAAAATTTGTTTCTCTTCCTTAAAGTGTGATTATGCGAGTTTAGAAGAAAAAGTTTTCGGTGCTATGTATGTATATGAAATAAAGTATTATGCTTGAAAAATAAATAAGTAATTTCAACACATCATTTACTTAATAATTTATTAATATGTCATGAGTTTTGTTTTGCTCTCGAAAATTGCTATGTATGCTAATTTCTCTTCCTTTTTTAACGTTGTCTTTTTCAAATCTATTATGTAATTAGGGAGTTTTCTCTCTTTTTAGAGTGCCACATCAGCAATTTCATATTAAAAATATTTTAAATATTTATTTAACTCATATTTATTCATATTAATTGTAGTTTTAATGCATAACTCTCAATTTATATAATATAAAACAAAATAAAGTAAAATATGAAGAATAACGTCATTAATATTAATATATGAAAAATGAGATAAAATTATAATGAATTTGATAGAAATTAAGAACTCAAATAATATACTAATAAAAGTAAGAGAATTTGCAGTCAGTAGTAAAAAATTATACGATAATTGGTCAAATAACAATGGAACTATTAGAGCTTTGTTTGTTCCGATTATGCCCTTATAGTTCTCTTGCTTAGCGAAGCTTAGAGTATGCGATAGCAGAGGTTTGGTGTGTCAGTAAGAAATCTAAAAAAATATTTTTCAAATTAAAGTTG